ATTGATTACTTTGTACTTTATGGGAAGCAAATTCTTAATTACTGAAAATGTCTCTTCTGTGTATTTGACTGGAGAGAGAGTAGTATCTCCCCCTGGATAACATAAGAGCGGTAGATGTAATGTGATCATTTTAAAAGAAGTCCTGATTTTTAAATTTTAGAAGATTTGCCCATGTGTTGGACACTGACCATTCAAAAATGCCTATGCTAAAAAGACCTTTCGTTTCTCTTTGGAATGATAACATTTAGAACTATACTGACTGTTGGTCCATTTTGCTCAGCACCAATGGTAACACTGCATATAATTTCTTTTTCATTTACACCAAGCCAATTCGCTGACTTAAGCAGAGTTACTCCTTCACCCTGGAGTGAGTAAGTTAGCTTACTGTAAACGTGGCTTCATGTAGTAGGGTTTTTATGTCTTGGTCCTTTTGGCTGCCTGTACACAAGCATGAAGGCTGCTTCGTGCTGTAATTAGAGCACATTGGAAAAGACGCAATTAATTGAGTCTGCTGGATCATGGTAATTACTGTGCTCCAGCAGCATCCTGTGTCTTGTGCATCAGTGTCCCTGGACTTCAAAATGGTAGTGGAGGTGCTTGAACTAAAGCTCATCGAACAAGCTTTATTTGAAGTGCCCCGCTACCATTTTGAAGCACCGGGACATGGGTACACGAGACGCTGTGGTACTGGAATTGGAGTGGCTCTCAGAGCTGCTCTAATTAAAGCACTGTCCTCTCCTTTCCACCCATGGAGCATATGTAAAACTGCACTTTCATTGCTGTTTAAGGTTGCTGGGTTTTTTTCCCCTTAGTGTTTGCCTATTGCTCCTTTCCCTTTTACTGTCATGTCAAGTCTTATTGGCCATTGGATCTTCAGTTATAGAAAATAGCTCTCTCCTTCAGTTGTGATAGTAACCAAATATCTACCTTGCCTCCATTTTTAAGGAATCTATCACATGAGAGGTTGAGCAGAGAAACTCCAAAGGGGACAGTAAAGTGAATGCTGAAACCCTTAGTTTCCTAGTGGGTAGTCTTACACTTACTACTTTGTTACAGGCAACCCCTGCTTAACACTTTCACTTAGCGCTATTTTGCCAAAACACTCATTTGAAATTGATACCTGATTTCACTTAGCCCTTATTGAGTTTCGTTATAACACTTGTGGCACCATCTTGGGTCATTAAAAACAATTGCAGTTGCCATCTTGGGTTGTCAGATACTTTCTGTTTCACTCAATGCTTGTTTAACTTAACGCTTGGTTTTCCAGGACCCAATTAAGAGCGCTAAGTGGGGGTTGCCTGTATTTGTATGGAGCAAGAGATTTAGATCAACAGTAGTTTTAAGAAATCTATTTCATATGGTAGTAAAATTCCTTCTCAAGTTTACTTTTGAAGCTTGAGGTTCAAGATTCATATTTCTTCATAAGTAATTGTTTCATGTGCACTTTACTCCTAATCCTTAAGGCGGGTGGTAATAATTTCCAATGTAAGTTGCGTCTGTTTATGCATGATGCTGTTCCTACTCTCTTTAAGGAGATGGCAGTTGTGAGTTCTTATCTTTATCTAGAACATGGCTGTTCATACTTACCTGCTCTATAAGAGCTTATTGCCATATTTTCTTACATAAAACATGCTCATGAAATATAATAAATACTTCGCTTTTCAAAAAAAAATTAAAAAAAATCAGACTGAAGAAATTTCCCCTCCCCTACACCTGAATTGTGGCTGCATAGAGCAGGAGCTTAGCCAGTCTTCATGTAACTCATGCTCCTTTTCCTGCTTAAGTAAAGCTGAAACTCCTATTACTGCTAAAGACTGATTTCCAGGGATCTTGGTTTTCTCTGTTTAAAAATCCAAAATTTTCAGATTAAAATACCCACAATCCATGTTTTTCCATGATTAAAATGAAACACTATATAATGTGTGCGCACGTGTGTGTGTGTGTGTGTGTGTGTGTGTGTGCGCGATTCTAGTTTGGAAGCGTACCAGTGCCTCATTCATTATAATAAAATAAATTCTAGATACCTATATATTTTGACTTCATTTTGGTTTTTTTATCATAGAAAATCAGAGCTCCCTCTGTCTCCTTTGCCTACCAGGATGTGAGTCCAGCTGTGGCTATCCCCTCCTTTGCTTTGTGGCACTGAGCAAGCCTGATATGCTGGTGCTGTGCCCCTGCCACCGCAGCCCCCCAGCCCCCTGGCCCTGCCGGGGCCCCTCACTCCCAACCAACAGTCCCCCCCCTGCCCCTAGCCCTATTGATGCCCCTCCTGACCCACATTGCCCCATCCCTACTGGTGCCCTCCTGACCCACAGCCCCCCACCCTTCTCAGCCCTGTTGGAACCCCTGACTCCTGATCCACTGCCCCGTGGCCCTGCCAGTGCCCCTCACTCCCAATTCACAGTCCTCTACACCCCCCCAACCCTGCTGGTGCCCCTCACTTCCAACCTGCTGCTCTCTGCCCCCAGGCTCCAGCCCCCCCAGTGTGAGAGAGAAGGGATGGGTATGTGGGGAAGGTGGGGTCTGGGCTTAGGCAACATGGGGGGGTGAGGGAGGCATTGGTGATGAGGTGGGGGGGCATAGGTGATGCATGGGGGGTGGCAGGGAGGATGCAGGGTTGCAGCCTAGCCAGATCCCCCCAAATTTGCTGTAGCTTACCCATAACCCCCCTCCCAGCACCGCTACTGCCTGCCCCAAGCAAAGCCCAGCCTGGCCCCATGCAGATCCGGGGCCACACGCCCCCCCCACCCATGCCTTCACAGATGAGCGGTGGGAGCAGCAGTGGGAGCCATCGGATGAACGGCTCCCGGATAAGCGGTGCTCAGCCCTCTCCCTTCCCATTCTCCCCTGGAAGAACCGTGGCTCTGTCCTGCACGTGCCCCCCCTGGGCTGGGCAGTGCCTGCCCCAGCCCCACTCTCTCCCTCACAACAGGGGCCTTGATCTCCTCTCCCCCCATTCCACCACACCAGACTTACTAGCTGCATGCTGCTCTCCACGCTGCCAGCTGTGCTTCTCACTACCTACGTGCTGTGCTGCGGCTGCACGCATGCATGGGCCATTTATCGGTCAAATTATTGGCCACATCAGGCCGATTTCCGATACAGACAATTTTCTTTATATTGGTGCTGATCCTATATTGGACCAATGTGTCTTTGCACCTCTATATAGAAGTGATTCGTTGTTGAGATGAGAGAAGATAATTAGTGTCCGTCTCATTCAAATAATGTTTTAATCTCATGTTAGCCTCCTGTACACAAGGAAGGAATACTAGGAGATGCTGCCTTTCTTGCTATATATTTCATAAATTTCCAGAAAGCAAGGCTGTTGGCAGTTTAGCTTTCCCTGAATAGTTTTTCCTTTTTATTTCCAAAATGTAACAGAATATTTGGAAATATTTTTATTGCATATTTCATAGACATCAGGGCTGGAAGGGAGCTTGGAAGATCATCGAGTCCAGCCCCCCGCCCAAAGGGCAGGAAGTCGGCTGGGGTCATAGGATCCCAGCAAGATAAGCATCCAGTTTCATCTTGAAGGTGTTCAATGAAGGCGCTTGAACCACCTCTGGTGGCAGGCTGGTCCAGACCTTGGGGGCTCGGACAGTAAAGAAATTCTTCCTTATGTCCAGCCTGAAACGATCTTGAAGTAGTTTGTGACCATTTGACCTCGTCATCCCTTGGGGCGCTCTGGTGAACAAACATTCCCCCAGATGCTGGTGGTCACCCCTGATAAACTTGTAGGGGGCCATCAGATCACCCCTGAGCCTGCGCTTTTTCAGGCTAAAGAGCCCCAGGGCTCTCAGCCTGTCATCGTAGGGTCTGCTTCCCTGACCTCTGATCATGCGCGTGGCTCTTCTCTGGACTCTCTCAAGCTTCTCCACATCCTTTTTGAATTGTGGAGCCCAAAACTGGACACAGTACTCCAGCGGTGGCCTCACTAAGGCCGAGTACAGGGGGAGAATGACGTCACGGGATTTGCTTGAGAAGCATCTATGGATGCAAGCCAGCGTTTTGGTCACTTTACTAGCCGCCGCATTGCATTGCAGGCTCATGTTCATCTTGTGGTCAATGATGACCCCCAAGTCTCTTTCTTCCATAGTGCTAGCCAACATAGCTCATCTCTGAATTAGTTCATTGAATCTTCATTTTTTTTTTAGAAGAACTCTCTCTCTCTCTCTCTCTCTGTTTGTGACACATATCTCTATAATATGTAGAACAGCAGCTGTTTTGTTATTGTTTTTAACTATAAGTTCTATAACGTTTTTGTTATGCACCTTTTTCCCACACCTCTTCCTGTTTTAACATTTCCTTTCATGTTGCTGCTTGCCCAGTTAATTTCACAAGTTATTCCAGCCTTGACGGTCTTTTCTTCTGCAAGTCACTGTCCTCTTTTCTATCCTGTTCACTAGTATGCAGTGCCTTCCTAGTCTTGTTCGTCAAGTTACTGATCTCATCTTTCTGAACAAGTGCCATGACCTCCTTTTTGCTGTGACAGCTTCAAGACATTACCTAACTTTTATATTTGGTAAGAAAGCAATAGATCAGGGCTGCCCAATTTCTGGGCAGCCAGGACAGGTCACAGCTCCCCTCAACTCCTGGGTCCTCACAGAGTGGTTAAGGCCCCCTCCCCACAGTGCAGCACAGGCAGCTTGGCTCCTCCTCCCCCAGCTGTATGTACCCCATAGGCTGCCCAGCTGTTTTCTGTCTGCCTTCAGCCCCCTCTGCCTCCTGCCCCATGTGCCACTCGGGCAGCACCAACCAATGCAGGTGGCCTAGCTTCGTCCATGGGGCCAGTCAGGAGGTGGTGGTTGTGTGCACGGCTTGTGCAACTGGGAGAGGGGAGAGTGGGGGAGCTAGGCTGCCCAGTGTTGTGTGCATGGTAGTGTGGGGAAGGGAAGGTGCTGGGCAGCCTGGCTCCCCTCACTCAGCTAAGCATGCTGTGTGTACGTCAAACTTCTTTTTCCTGGCCATGTGGGGGGATCTGGGCTTTTGAATCGTTACAGGCTGTGCTATGTATGGAGCTTCCCGAGTAGCAGATGGGGTTCCTGCGCAGTCTGGTTCCCCCTCTTTCCTAAGCATGCTGCACAGGTGAGTCCAGCATGGACAGCTCTGTACCCCTTCACTTCCCCCTACCATGCGCACAGTGTGGGCAGCCCAGCTCTGCCCTTCTTCCTGCCATGCACATGGTGTGGGCTGCCCCCTCCCCTTCCCAGGCAGTTTGGCTCTCCCACCTGCTGACAGGCTCCCTTCTTTGCCACAAGCGCAGCTTGGGCACTCCAGGCCCCTCCTGGCTGCTATGACATGAGCAACTGGGGAGAGGAACAGTAGTCCGGTATGAGCCTGGGCCACATGCTAACTCTTCAGAGGCTACCAGTTGGACAGCAATAGATGATAGCTAAAGAATCAATGGGAATTTCTGGTTTGTAGCACCCATTACCTTTGTATATTCTGCTTGCCTGTCAGCTCTACCTCCTTCCTCAGTCATTTTTTTTTTCCTTTTTTCTTAGATTATAAAGTTTGAGAGGGACAGTTTCAGCTTCTGTGATTAAACATGTAGAACACTTTGGAGACTTTTGCCCTCTTAATTGTTGAGCTAGAAGGAGACTGTATTGTGCTCTCTGCTTAGAAGCAGAAGACAAAAATAGCAGATAACGTAACAAAGAGGACACAGACATCGAGGAGTTTGTTTTAGCAACTATTTCAGTGATAACTGAAAGGGAGATTGTAACAAGAAAAACACTCTCCTTTCCCATCTCTTGACATGGTTGTTATTATCTACCTCTGATAATCTGAGGTTCCCTTACCTCTGTTTACCTTCTATAACTGAATCTTCAAATACTTCCTTAGAATGTCCTGTGTATAAGCACCACTTTGGTCCTTCAATGATGGATTGGACTCATGTTTAGTCTTGGCAGATGCAAGATATGGAATATACTACAATTCTAAAATTAGGAAAGAAATAGGGGCACAGTGGTACCTTAAAGTCTCTGTCTGTCTCTCAATTAGATGAAAAACAATCACAATTGGAGACATCTTTAAGAGAGGATTACTGATCTATTTAAAAAACTAATTTACAAAAATTGTTAAAATTATGCTTGATCTAAATTCATGGATCTCTGTGTATGTAAACATATGGATAACTTGGATCCTCCATATAAAACAAAACCCTTTAGCTTGCCTATAAATATATGGCATTTTAACTCCCTGATAAGATTTGTATAGGTAACTTTGATTTGTATGTATGTGAGTGAAAATTTCCCAGAAAGATCAAGGTGCATCTAAGGGTAGAGAAACTGTGCTAAAAGAATACTTTGGGACTTATTAATTCAGTAACTTCCTTACTGATTCTTTATTCACCCTTTCAAGAATACTCCTATGGCCATGTCTATACTTCTTTCCTAGATTTCTCCTACTTATAAAGCCTAATAGCAGGTGTCTGATAGAAGTCATTTAAATGTCCCCGAAGTGTTTGTCTAAGCTCCAGGAGGAGTAAATGGGTGGGTGTTATTTGCTTGGTAGAAGATGTCTTGTTGGGGGAAGGAAGCAGCATGAATATTGTCTACTTTTGACTCTGATTAAGCATTAGAACTTTTGAAATGGATAAGAAAAGCAAAAATGAATTTCTTGATGAAAAGTTGGCTGAATGCAATGAGGTTAATAACTGGGATTTATCTGTTAGATTCCCAATGAATTAAAATGTACTTAATTTGCTTACAGTTTTGAATTTGTAATCTGTAAATAGCATATTTACATTTTGCTTCCAATAGGGGATTCATTTTATAGGCTTCCTTTTTGAATAACCTTGTCTAACATTAATTGGAAACTTGGGCTGCTTACAGATGTGAAGAAAAAACTAAAACAGCACTTTACTTTCAGCTCGGTGCACCCCTGCGCCAAGTGCAGTGCATGTCCAGGAGAGGCATTGCATTAGTTTGACCTGGCTCACCCAACTTCTGTTTAGACTGGGCACTTCAACAGGCCTTTTTGTCGCTTTTATCTAGTAGCTGATTAAATCAGCTTTAGATAGGTGGCAAAAAGCCTGCTGAAGCACGCAGTCTATACAGATGCTGAGGAGCTGGGTCAAACTAACGCACGTCCTCTTCTGGTAAAGTGCTGTTTTTTTTCAGGGGGGGAGTTCCATGTCTATCAGCGGCCTTGATGTACAAAGCAGACTTTGCCTTCCAAATTACAAAAAATAATTTGTTGGTGTTCATTTGTATTGCGTCATGTTGGGGCATTTTGTTGGCTTTTTTTACAAAATAATCCACCAGATGAGAGGCATTTTAACACCTTGTTGAGTTAAGCTATTAAGTGTATAGTCTGAAGACAGTTTAATAATATTTATTTAACTGGCTTGTTAATCTCAACTTTAGTTTCTGGGCTTTTCTTGTTGAATACCTTAACTTACTGTATTTACTCAAATACAAGATGAGGTTTTCCCCCCACAAAATGCATAGGGGAAAAAAGCCCCTTATCTTATTATTGCATACAAGGAAACCTCATTAATTTCATTAACTACATTGTCTATTGTTAAACTGCTGCCAAAAGCAGCATGTGCTCAGTAATCAACTGAAGCTGATTAAATTCAGCCCATGGGCGACTGGTGCCATTTATTGCGTCTACCAGGAAGTGGCCGTGGCAGTCCTGAAAGTGGCCGCAGCCCTTTGCGCCGACTGGGAAGTGGCCGTGGCGGTCCTGAAAGTGGCTGTGGCCCGTTATCTGGCGCTCTCACTCCCCGGCCAGTGCTTGCCGGGCGGGAACCAGCGCTCCCGCCTGCCTCCCCTGCCCATCGCCTAAGTGGGGAGTGCAGCCTGTCAGGGGGGTGCACGTGTGCCTCTGTGCACCCCCTACGCATTCTCACTGATGCAGCCAACGCTCAACTTGACTATAAAACATGTGGCCCAAATTGTCAGCCCTGACACCCTCCCCTTGGTGCCAAAAATTCTTGCTTAAAAAAAAAATCGTGTTCCAGGTCACATGAGCCAAATCAGCTCTAAAGCATACCAGAACTCAATTGTTCCAAAAGCCATATTGATTGAGCAGGCAGAACTCAATAGTTCTAAATAGCATGTATGGCGCTACAACTGGCAAGCTTCCTCCATCTCAGACTCTCACCCTAGGACTTCATATGCTCCAAAATCCATTGGGAGGCATCCTACGTTCAGGCCCAAGGCTGAAGGTTCTGGGATTCAGATGCCCTCTACACTTGATCTGCGCCATGCTTGCTACCACAGGGATAGGTTGGTGCAGCTCATCTGAATATGAAAGATGGTAGTGCCCATTGCATGGAGCGCCCATTGTCTTCCTCAGTGCCAACTCTTTTTAAGTCTTGGTGAGCCGCTACACTGCATACATTTTGATTTTCTCTTTACTCCCACAGCTGAGCTGTGCCTTTTCCATTTCCAATGATTACTGTGTCTTCACCAATCTTAAATGTCTGGTAAATATCATGACACAGGCCCCCAAACTGTTCACCCAGAATCCCTCTGTCTTCCCCTCTCGCAGCATGTCGCATATGATTATTGTGACCTCACCCTGCATGAGGTGGAGCTGGACCAAGTTGCCTTGCACCTCATTTGCATATACATTTTTGAGGATCCCAGGACTTGTGACAAGAACACCTGGTTCCAGTCATGAGTTGGGGGGTGCTAATTAGCAGGTGGATCCTTTGTGAGGTGATGCTATCTATACACACAGCAAAATATGCTTTCTCTTGCCTTCTGTAGCACCTACATCAGTCAAGATAATGCAAAGGAGAAAAATCATTCTTGTTTTACTGGCACAGAAAACTCATTTATGGAAAGGCTGTGATTTTTGTCAAAAGTGTGTTGAGAGCTGAGTTCTTTCATTGATCCCCAACTCTTGTTCTTCATATTAACCAACATTCACCACCCTGGCTTTCATGCATTATATTGAAATAAATGTAATATATCTGCAGTGAATTTCAGTAAACATCACTGATTAGAGATTCTCTGAACAGTGTAGATGGGAATGATTCATTGCTTGGGCTTCTATAAGTGTGTAAAGTATAATAATGTTTACCATATCTTTAGGTATGTCTGTGGTATAATGTAGACCAGGCTTGTCCAAGATATGGCCCGTGGGCTGCCATGCGGCCTGCCAAGGCATTTTCTGGGGCCCGCGGTGCTGCAGTGGGAAACGAAAGTAAACACTGTTTACTTTCGTTCCCACCCCTTGTCCCTCCCCCAGCCCCTCAGCAGCTTCCTAATGGCTGCTGAAGGGCTGGGGAAGGGACAAGGTTCCCACGCACTGTGTCAGCTTGACGTTGCCGACACAGCGCGTGTGGGAAGAGGAGTAGCTGTGTGCCGCTCGGGACAGGATGAGCCCAGCCGGAGCAGCAGGGGGCTCAGCTGCACTTTCCCCCTACCTGCGCTGGTCAGTCCAGTGCCCTTTCCCCCTACCTGCTCTGGTCAGTCCAGAGCGGCACACAGCTTTGCCGCTGCCTCTGCTGGCTGGTGCCGAACCAGGCAGGTCACATCGGGAGCAGCATGAAGCTGAAGCCGGATTCCCACGTGGTGCTGGGGACTGGAGGAGGCCGGCCAGGTTGGCACCAACCAGCAAAAGCGGCGGTGGAGCCGTGCGCCGCTCGGGACTGACTGGTGCAGGCAGGAGGAAAATGCAGCTGAGCCCCTGCTGCTCCGGCTGGGCTCGTCCCATCCCAAGTGGCACATGGCTCTGCCGCTACTTCTGCTGGCCGGTGCAGACCTGGCCCACCTCCTCCCATCCCCAGCAGCACATATCTACGTTAGTGAGGAACGTTTAGTTTTGGTTGAAGCTTGTTCTGATTTCCTTCCGGCATTATTTTATAATAGTGTCCTGAAGGAGTTTGAGTGTGTGCAACTTCTTTTGAGAGGACTGTTTTTAACTATTTCAGAAATACTAAATAAATATGTATTTGATGCAACGCATTTTGATTAGTATGAAGTATAAATATAGGTTGACTTACTTTCAGCTTTTTTTGGTTGAAGATTGTATGAATTATATGGATTATATGAATAAATCAAAAGGGCGAACTATATGACTGAAAAAAGGGTATTGATCTCTACACAGTTATAAGAACTGCTTCTTGATTTTTAAAAGCTGTATGTTCCCACCTTGGTAGGATTAAACTGGGGCTGTGGACAAAAGCAGCTATCTTTTAGCTGCTTTTTAAATGGAAGGCTGAACTGCTTAGGAGGACATGTCAACTATTCTAATCTGCCTGCTTTTGTCGTGGTACAATTTTACAGCAATTTAGCTGATTTTAACCATGAATGAAACAGGATTAAAGTCACGGTGGTATTGCAGGGGTTTAGGTTGTAGCCATGTTGGTCTAAGGATATAGGCAGACAAGGTTCCTTGGGTGAATTTGATATCTTTTATTAGACCAACCCAAATGGTTGGAGAATAGTTATTAAGCAAGCTTTCGGGTTCAAAAACCCTTCGTCAGGCTCAGGAAGCTGCAGCAGTTGGTGTGTGCTCTTCCTGGATGGAATGAAAAGTAAACAAGCCAGGGGCTGGGCTGGGCGGGGGAGTCAGTTGCCAGGCAGATTATAATGTATCAAAAATCCAATGTCTATGTTTAGTCCCTGATCTCTAGTATCCAGCAGGTTGATGAAATGGAGCTCATAGGCTCGTCTCTGGGGTGTGTTGTGTAAATTTCCCTTGAGGATCAGGACTGAGAGATTGGAGAGAGAGTGGCCCTCCTGTGAGAAATGTGCCCCCACTGGTAATTGGGTGTTTCTGTCTTTGATGGATTTCCGGCGTGCATTCATTCTGGTGCGCAGAATGCACACCGGAAATCCATCAAAGACAGAAACACCCAATTACCGGTGGGGGCACATTTCTCACAGGAGGGCCACTCTCTCTCCAATCTCTCAGTCCTGATCTTGGATGAGGTATACTACATTCCTGGAGGTGCAGCTGTAAGATCCTGGGATGCTGATGGCTCTGTTGTGGGGTGTAGTAATAGTGGGGGTGGTGGAGATGTGGGGGCAGGTTTTGCATTTCTTGTCATGGCACGGTCTGGATCCTTTTGGTGTGTTCTGGGGTTGAGGAAGTTTGCTTCTGGTGATGAGGTTGGCGAGGTTCGGTGCTTGTCTGAAGGCTAGGATGGGTGGCTCTGGGAAGATCTTTTTAAGAATAGGGTCTTTTTCTAATATGGGTTGCAATTTTTTGAGGATTTTCCATACAGGTTCAAGGGAGGAGTGATACGTCATAACCAGCGGTGTGCGATTTGTGGGTGTTTTTCTTCTGTACTGCAGCAGTTCTTCACGTGGTATCCAGGTGGCTCTTTCAAACGTGCGATCTACCTCTCTGGAGGAGTGTCCTTGCTGGGTGAAAGCCTTTTTAAGATTGGTGAGGTGGCAATCCCGGGTGTTCTCTTCAGTACAGATGCGGTGGTATCTGAGGGCTTGGCTGTATATCACTGCTTTTTTGGTGTGTTTCGGGTGATTGCTGGTTCTGTGCAGATATGTATGTTGGTCTGTGGGTTTCTTGTATACTGTGGTCTGTATTTTACCCTTCTGGATACTGATCCTTGTGTCTAAAAAGGGGATGTTGGTGTTGGAGTATTCTAAAGAAAGTCGGATGGAGGGATGGTGACTGTTGAATTTCTGGTGGAACTCAAGTAGAGATTCCAGGTTCTCACTCCAAATGATGAAGATGTCATCGATATATCGTAAGTACAGCAAGGGTTTGATGGTGCAGTTCTTGAGGAAGTCTTCTTCCAGGTGGCTCATAAAAAGGTTGGCATACTGTGGGGCCATTTTAGTGCCCATAGCTGTTCCCATCATCTGGAGGAAGTGTTGATTATTAAAAGTGAAATTGTTGTGTGTGAGGATGAAGTGTATAAGCTCAGTGATATCTTTGGGTCTGTATTCTGGGTTGTAATCTTGTTCCTGTAGATATGTAAGGCAGGCATGGATGCCATCCTGGTGTGGGATGTTGGTGTATAGTGGTCTAATAAAAGATATCAAATTCACCCAAGGAACCTTGTCTGCCACAGTGGTATTGCTACACTTGTATCGCTACAAGAGTTTGAAGACATAACTTACATCCTAACAGTTTATCTTGGTATCATTTGAAATTGATACCACTATGTCTGTCTATCTGGAATGCGCAGGTCGCTCCTCAGCTATTTGTATACAATCTTGGGGAACTTTATTTTGCATCAGGCTTTCAAGGTAGCATTTGGAAACTTGAGCCTTAAGTTTTGTTTGGAAAACTTACTGTGGAAACAAGGGAAAGAAGAGCAAAGCCCTTGACCTTGGAAGTGCCCAATTGATTTTTTTTTTTTTTTTAGTCTGTTTTTTTCCTTTGTCCTGCCCCTGTGAGCAGCATCCAAGGAGGTGTAGATTGGGTTCTGTCTCTGGGGCCTCCAGGAGCGTGTGCGCCTTGGTCAGGCAAGCCGTTGGTGATTCCATTCTGTGATGAGTTATTTTCATTAATGGGTGCTGAAATTAAATGTTCTTATTTGTACCAAGACTTTCTCCTTCTCCTCTTCCCACATGTTTTGGCTTCACTTCATCTTTTCTCTCTTCCTAATGAAATTATGATTTCATAGCTATAAAATCCAGGAAGAGAATGCAGATTCAGTTCTCTTTATTTGAAGGATAGGCACCTGCCTGGGGTCATGTGACCCCAGCACACTTTCCTGCCTAGGCAGGGGGTTGGACTCAATGATCTGTTGAGGTTCCTACCCTAGCATCTATGAATCTATGAGCAGTGGTAATCTATAGGGTCATACTGCTTGTAGCGCTGTTGACTCTGCTGGCACCCAGCCCAATGAACTATGTGGTAAATCATGAGCCTTTTGACTTTGCACTAATAGCATGCAGTTTGTACCAGCACCCCCCCACTCGCCTTTAAGCAGCACTTTTGTGTGTGAGTGCGCGTGTGTGTACAAAACCCCTTGATTTATTTTTGCTGCTGTAGCAGCAGGAGGGGGACAAATTCAAGGTAAAGCTTCAATAATTAGATTCTATCCCTGGAAAATTAAAATAAATTTATAATTTTTTCCATATACAGAATCTAATTATTGGGGGGTCATGTGATATCTGGGGTTGTCTTATATTTGAGTAAGTATGGTTTTTTAACTGTATTTTTAAATAACAAGTACAGCTTGGCTTAATTCTTTTTGTGCTAAATTGCTGCAAATGAAATGAAATAGGGGTTTGTTAATAGTCATCACTCATGATGTTTTGAGAATTTAGCAATAAGTTTTTATGGACTGTTACTGCATTGACAATTTATGGATTGCTTGTTGAATTGTTCAGTGGATTGATGCAAGTGTTGTAAAATTCTTGTGCAAATGGGTAGTTTTAATTTATAGCAGACTTCAGAGAGGATTTAATATTTTTTTAAAATCTTTTCTTTTTCAGACTCCAGGCAGAGTTGGATCCCAGAGCTCAGATTCGGATTCTTCTGCAACACCTGGAAATGCAGTGGATGTGAACAATGAAAGCTCGTCAGAGGTACTATAGGATAGTGGTTCATGGAAATAGAGTCTTAAACTTGGGATCTGATCAACCTCATTTTGTTGAAGCTTTAGGGAGATGATTCAGGGACCTTAACTAAATGATCCTTGTGTACATTGGCAAATACGCGTGTGTGGGTTAAGAGAAGATTTCTTTGTGCTGATTCTGTACATGTTCATTTCATGTTCAGCTTGTATGCAATGAAGTATGAGCAAGAATATCTGTCAATAATTGTACATCAGTGATTTTTACACTTGGCATCCCAAATGACCTGCAAATTGCAGTATACAAAGAAATTTTAGTGTGTTGTGTGTTTGCATTGCTATTTTGTCAGTTGCTTCAAAGGCTCATCAGAAAAAACCTCCTCAAGCATAAGGTTTGTGCATTACTTTCTCTTGATACCTGTCATAAAACTTCTCGTTAGCTGTCTTACAAGTTGCTTGCATAAATTGATTAATTTGGTTATTGGTTGCACACCAAGTGGCAAATGGTACTAATTGAAGCTCCCCTGAGGATCTGAAACAAAGTGCAGTGGTCATTTTAATTGCTGCAGGTAAAACATTGTTCTCTTATACTGAAATATCTAACACTATTTGAACCTCTGATATTTAAGTATTTATAACATTTAATCTTAACAGGTATGGTGGTCCTCTCTCTGCTATGTAACTGGCTTAAGAATCTTTTCTACAACTACTTTGTGAGCAGCTACCCAGACCCGTTTGAAGGATGTCTGTCTTCCACCTACTGTTCTGTAGAACTGGGAGTCCCTATTTATTCTGTTCTATCTAGGCTGGTTTGTTTGGTGGTTTTCCAGCCTAGAACACTTTAAAGTGCTGGGAAGTAAGAAAATATGTTTGGCCCTGCAGAAGATCTGGGTATTTGCTCAGAGACTATGATCCTTCCATAAATAGTAGGGCTGGGCTAGAGAGGATAGAAAGATGAAGGAGGGATATTTTAATTGAACTGATTGGAATTTTTTGAGTTAAAATCCCTGCTCAAAGCCCTCTTTTTTTGTTGGAGGTGAAGCTCATGCTTGAGGATACAGCTCTGTTTGTTTGTGTTGCCATATTTTTGTTGGAGATAGAACTCATGTCAAATCCACCTGTCCAAATAATTCATTTCTCTGGTAAACTTCAGCCGAAGGTGCTGAGTTTCTTGGATCTACCCAGGCAGTGCTTAGCAACCTTTTTAGGCTTCAGGCTGGAATGACCCAATTCATGTCAGAGAATGGTGGGTGCCAGAACCTAGCTGCCATGGGCACTTTTCCCCATGGCAGCATGGGGACAGCCACCCACTGCTGAATGCCGCTGAAGTCTCATATCCTACAGACTGGATGTGGCCCCTGGGCTAGAACTCGTCAACCCTTACTCTAAGGTGCACCCGTCTACCTTCTGAAGTACTGCATCATTTTTCCCAGTGGACTACACTGTGATTTGAAAACCCTACACAGAGAAAATAAAATCAGTTTTTCAGTTAGTCATGTGATATGCTCATCTAAAAATACTTTTGTTATTGCCCCATGTGTTAGATGAAAATGTGAGATGTAAGACTGTTAATTTGAATCAGCTGTTAAATAAAAGCACCAAACAGCCCTGCTGAAGCACATGGTCTATACAGACACTGGGGAGCTGGGTCAAAGTAATGTGCTTTCTCTTCCGGTAAAGCACTGTTTCGAAGGTTTTTTCCCCTATATCTGTCAGTGCCCAATTTGAACGCTGCCCGTTTTCTGCAAATGTTGAATTGGGTTTGTTCGCTTGTGTACAGCAGAATTCTTGCTCTTTTACATTGCATTTCTGTTTGTTTTATGAAAGCTCTGAAAAACTTATAAAATATGTTGGATTTTTACATGATACTTCGTAATGGATAAATTGTGATTGCTTGTATGTAAAGTGTCCCTTTGTACTACAGAGCAGTACCAAAAACCTTTCAAAACTGGTGAAAACAGTTAACAATCCTATGGCAGCATGTTCAGCATATTCAAACTTAGTCTAAGATAAATTGGTTTATTTTCACATTTCTAATCATGCTTTTGTTTGCCTTTTCTATTATGATCTCGTGATCTGTGAAATTGTCTTACAAAACTTTGTGAAAAAAAAAGATACAGCTCCAGCCTTCTTTGCTTTGTAAGAATTTTTAAATCCACCAATTGACACCTTACCTGTTCTTACTCTTTCCATTGTTAGTTTTAGATTAAAAAAAACCCAAATGTACATTTCACAGGGCTTCATCTGTCCACTTTGTATGGGAATGTATGTAACACCTACTGATCTGTCTGAACATTACCAAAATGAACATTTTGGGACAGAAACAAGACGACAGGAGCTTTGTGACCTGCCTACAGTTACTGTGGGTCTTGTTTATTTGTTACAGTGGCTTGGTAATGGGTTGCTTAACATAAATTAAAAGCGTTTCCTTTCTGGATGCTTGGGTGCCAGCCTATTCCACTTTTTCTTGATGCTTAAAAAACAAAACCATTATTTTTTTTTATGCATGCTTGAAAGATGGTAAATTTAGTAAACATATATTTCATGGGTGCTCTTTGTCTCTATCTTTCTGGTTTGCAGCTGTCTCTCAGGTGGACTGTCTGATATTGGTGATTTATATTTACATATTTTTGGAACAGTTTTTGCCTGATTTATTTTCCTTTGAAATTCAATATTTATACTTGATATACTTTTGTATTTGTCACAATAGTGAGCCTAAAGCATAAGATTTTGCTAAATCACTGATGCAGTGTAAATTTCATAATGTAATTAATTAATTAATTAACCTTTTTAAGAGACTTTTAAATGTCCCTCTGGTTTTTGAGGTATAGCTAATTTATTTTGGAGTTATGGAACAGGGAGGAAAACATGGAGGAAAATAGGAATCTTTAAAATCTTTCAAAATTCTATTTTTAAATGTTTTACTAAGGCACCTCAGCTATATTGGCAAAACCGCAAGGATAAATAGCATCTGATAAAGCTCTGAAGTTATTTTTGTCTCCCAATAATTTACAAGATGACTTAGTTAAGTAGCTTTTATGGTAGGTAAACTTTTGGACTTGAATGGATCAATCCTCTGTCGATCAAGTCATTCTGTCTTAAATGTGTATGTGGGGGGACATATGGCGAAATGGCTGACACTTGGGTAGGAAAAAAAAAAAGAACTATAGCCGTATCAGCAGCTTATTGGAAAGGAGTGGAAGTTGGATTAGGGTTAAGGATGGCATGCTGTTTTAATACACAGGTGGACCTATTTTACATCATAGAGCAATGAGTCTAGAGCTGGGGTTGGCTTTAGCCTGCAGACCGGATATGGCTTGTGGACATGGCAGTCGGGGCTTCTACCATGGGATGGTGGTGGTTGATGGGCCATAGTGTCTGTTTGCCTCTGACCTGTGCTGGGTTGTTTTTGGCCTGTGGGCCAAGTGGGTGGCCTGGGACCAGTCCATGGGCTGGATGAATGGCATGGGGCTGGCCCTGCTGGCCAGACTGGACTCATTGACAACCTCCTCATCTTCTTTCTTCACACTCCACACCATGCCAGATCTAGTGCCTGGTCTGGTGTGTCTGGGACTGTTGCAGGCAGTGCCTGCTTTGAGACCTGGGCTGCATGTGTACCCTGGACAAGGCAGAGTGGGCACCACATGCAGCAGGCAGGATGGGCATTCTGGAATGTGGGAAATGAGGAGTCTGGGTATTGTGATATAACATGATAGCAAGGCACGCAAATAGAAACTGTAGGGATTGCTTGAAGATCCTCTTGATCCTTCTTTCAAGATGCAGTGCCATCTGGCTTATAGTTGAGAAGATCTGGCTAAGTTTTGTGAACCATACAACTTTGATATTAGGCTCCTAATAGTTGATTAGCACCAAATGTTGCCTTTTATTAGCAGACTAGCAAATTGCCCATCAGCAATGACCAGGCGGATGGAGGGGGGGGAAGCTTGCTAGCCCTATCCTTAATCCCCCTTGCCCCCACCGCTGCTGCCACCTCCCAGGAGTAGGGGGGAGGGGCTTAAGGTTGCCCCGCTGTCCTTTCCATTCCCCTCTGCCAGCACCCTGCACCACTGCTGCCGGGGGGGAGGGGGTGAGGCCAGCAGTGCAGCCTCACTCCTCTGCTCCATCCCTGCTGTCACGGTAGCGCTCTGCCACCTCCGGCGGGGGGGGTCTTTCAGTAAGCAATCAGAATGCTCCAAGAGCGTTACAGACAGAGACACAGATGGACCAAGCCCTCTATTATATTAGAATTGTGACTGTCCTTACTGCAAGAAATAACAATAATTTTATCATTATTGTGACTCCGTGGGCCTCCCGTCCGGTACCGCCCTTCGTCTGGTAGCCCCTCCCCCTCATCCCGCCTGCCACGACTTGGATGTTAAGTGATTCGAAGGAGGGGTTCAGTGGAGATCTTCTGCCAGAGGGGCTTG